AGCGTTCGTTCGAGGCACTTGTATTAATTACATTTCCTCTCTTTTTTTCAACCCATGTTTTTGTAGTTTTCTGTATTCCAGTGGCTTGGTCAGACATATGGCAGTAACAACCTGCTGGCAATGATGCAGTGGACTAGGAGGGTCTTTACCCAAAGACACTGCAGAACAAAATATTGTCTCCAAGGTCGAACTTAGAGACTTTTATGCTTACAATAAGTTAATTAGATTAGAATAATAGTTTAGCTGTAGTATGTATCATGTTGCTCGAATGAAAATGTACTTTTGTTTTCAATTGATTAATAAACTGACGATCTAGCCTGGCTAATGTTACTGGTTTAAAAAATTTTTTTTAACATTAATAATAATTTTTTTTTTTTAATATGATTTCTTAACTACTATACAGTATATACAACGTCTTTTGATTTTGAATAATAAAGTCTTAATATAATAATATTTCACACTTCACACGATTGCAAAAGTTAAATAAATGTTCCTATTTTTTTTTTGACAATTTGCAAAAATTTTATTTTTTGATAAAAGAATTTTCAGAAATCTATTAATACTATATATCAAGAAAATTGAGACTACGTAAGCAAAAAGAAAAAAAAAAAGGTAGAATTTATCAAATCTTTATTGTAACCTCGATGAAGTCAAGACGTTAACGGTCATGTGTACAACAAGTCGCCACTCACATCATATCGCATGATCATTACAAATTTAATCGTGACGAGTTCTTTTTCCGGCGCCGGCTGAAGCTTCCGCAGCGACATAAGACAAAAGTGATAATCCGAGATCGAAGGCAGAGAAAGCTATAATGCGCAAAGGCATTTGATCATAGAAATATTTTAATGCACCGCAGAGAACAAGCACGGCCATGCGACTATGTACTACCAGATTATAAAATAAGATTAAATAATCTCGATCGCGTAATTAAAAAAAACTTGAAAAAAAGAGAAGAAATGTAATTAATACAAGTGCCTCGAACGAACGCTTGATCGCCCTTAGATCCGGAAAATGCCTGATAGTGACCGAGTGCCACCTGCAATATTAAAAACGAAACGTTTGTAAATTTATAGTAGAAAGATATGTGAAAATGTGACAGAATTTTGTTCGCGAAAATTTCGTACGCACCAAGAGAGCTTAGAATGTTCATGCGCACGTCGTAAAAGGAAGTAATTAGCTAGGCGAAGATATTTTACGCAATGACAGAAAACGAGATTAATTACCTCCAGAATACTTGTAAGCTACGACAGTTGCCGGTTTATCAACAACAGACATGAAAGTTGCCTATTTTGGTTATACACAAAGTAAATAAAAATGCACAGTCGGGTCTAAATTTATTGTTTTTAACATACCAATTCAGGAACAAACAAGTCAGGTCTAAATAGCATGGCAAGTCCGGCCATGCCATCAAAAACACCTTGAGCCGTAACCAAGCTTGAGGGATTAAAAATGCCAGAGATATAATTCATTGTAAAAAACGACGAGAATATGTTTGATGCAAGAGGTTTAATTAAAAGTAAAGAAACCCCATTTTATATTCATATCGGTATATTAATTATGTCATTTATTTGTACAGTATTACTTGTAAATGATGCAGACGCAGACTTGCAATGAGACTAATATATTAAAAAAAAAAGTTTCCAGTTGGATTATGTGCGTCATTATGATACAATGAGGTTAGAAGTCGAGTGCAATAATGTTGCAAGGCTTACGACACTAGACATGTTTCAGGTATTTTTGAAAACCAGAATCATCTCACCCCGACTGTTTATAAAGTATATCCAATCACTATTTAATCTTTAAATATTAATATGAAAATTCTATAGATGCAAATATAAAAAAAAAATAAAAATAAAAACAATAATACAGATCGAGGTGCATACAAGAAGTAACAAAATCTAGAGATAAATTTTTCCTTGACTTTCGAATTGAAGAAATATGCAAGGAAGACGATGTAAAAGACAATTTGTTTCTGTAGTTTAAGTTTGTCTCAACATTCCTAATAAAAATAGATAATTTTATCAGAGTAAGTTACTTATAAATCAAACGCGATTCTTGGAGTACATACTTAAACGTTCCGATAATTGCTCGTCTTCATCATTTACTTTGTCTGCAGTGGCGAGGGCATTACTGGGGGTCGCTGAATCAAGTTCCTGGTTTAATTCCAATCCATGTTCATCGGCTACTTGTTGCATAAGTAAATCCACTTCCTCCTGAGGTGTAGACATTGTGGTGGTGTTTCCCATCGCTCCCTCCATATATTGCGTTTGAACATCGAGATCTTCGAATTGAGCTTCGAATTTATCCATGACCATGGAAATCTGTCACAAATTTATGTCTCTTCTGTTATTGTGTTAATGTTAATTTTTTCATTGAACTGGGAATATGAGTATACCTTTTCTAAATTCATCGACTCCATGGCTTTATCCATGCCCTTTACAACACTTGCCATTGATCCAGTCACCTTTGTTAAGATATGTTAGCTTCATAAGTATGTAAAAGGTCAAACTCGAAGAACTATTACCTTTTGCATTGTTACTGCAGTTTGTACGCGGCTAGAGACTGCGTCAATTCTTGAAGACAGCCTTAACAAATTTAATGATTCGTTCTTTTTTCTGATTGCATTAGCTGCATAAATACGTGCGCCCTCTATGTTTCCTTGTTGTATCGCCTAAAAGCAGAGAAAATTTCTTAGAATATCTAAAATGGGATTCAAGAAATTTCGTATAAAGATATTATTTGTTTGTCCAACCTTTTTCAATTTCGCTTTCTCAGAAACTTCATCTTTGCTTGCCTTCTTTGCTTGGCGAGACAATTGCTTCGCCGTGAGCTAGTGATACTAGTATATTCAGTAATATACTTCAATAGAAAGAATGTTCATCTCGAAGGAAAGATTGAATTCTCACTTTAAGTTGAAATAGACTCTTTTCTAAGTTGCTCATCTTGTTAGCAAGGAAAGGATTTCTGTGGAGAGCAATGTGACAAATTCGGCAGAAATAACAAATTTGTCTTGTCGTTCTCCGATCACATGAAATATTATTTATAGAAACGCGTTTTATACTAAAAATCTCAATTTATAGCTTTTTAAAATTTAATTATTAGTTTTTTAAAGTAAATATACTGTATTTATATATAATAAGTAATCTATAAATTAATTCTATTTATATTATTCAAATTAGTTTTTCTTTTATAGAGCAAGAAATTAGTACTATTTAACAAAAATCATAAAAAAATTTAAAAATTAAAAATAAAAATAAAATAAAAATAAAATATTTATTTTAGCATTAATTTTAATATTTAATAATTAATATAAAAAAAAAAATTTTTTTATAAAACTTTATGATTTACTTTATTTTTAAAAGAAAAAAAATTAAAAAGTTAAACCATTTCAAAAACTTGGTAATATATATAAAAAACAATATTTGTAAGATTTTTTTTATAAAATAAAATATAAAACTTTATAAATAAATTATTATTTAAACAAGTATAAGCTAACAATATTATTTTATTTATTTAAACTTTTAATAAAAAGAAAAATAATTAATAAGTAATATAATATAAATATATTTAAATAATTAAAATTGGAGGTTTTTTTTTTTTTTTTTTTTAAACCCTCTATCAGGTTAGGTACATGTGCTTTATTAAACATGTGTATACTTTATATTGAAGAATGTATCACTAAAGCTAAGACTCTACCTAACTTACTTGTCTCTGTTTTAAAGAATTATTAAAACTCTAAATGCAACTTCGGAAGTGATTTATCGCTCCATTAACAGTTCAGGTAAAGACCCTTCCAACTGTTAACTTCATTGCCTACAGATCACTACTGCAGATTACTCTGTGATATTCTGACAAAGCTTAAAACCCTAGCCATTTTATTCCATACTTCACTCTTCTTGTTAAAATTTCCCAGAGGTTTTCATTTTCTAGATTTCCTTCTTCAGGTAGTGGCTCTTTTTTTTTCATAAGTATAGTTTTTGGGCTTGATAGACATGGG